CGCAATGATACAACTTTTTGATTTGCGCCTTTTACCAAAATTCCTTAAAATGTTTGGTCTACAAAAGCCCCCTACTTTGGAAAAGTTTTGGGAACATCGATTGAAGAACGTCGGTCGTGGCTTACGTGCAATGGCTCTTAATGGAGAATGACCTCAGTTTATCATATTTATCCGTAGCCCAGAATTCCCGGTATATGAATACGCCGTGATTGGTTTGGTATTCCAGGATCCTGCTACTAATAGTATAACCCTTAGTTTTTAACGTGAAGTCAATTTCTTCAAGAGCGTCAATAAAAGTTACTGGCAGCACAGCGTTATTGGGCTTTTGATTGTGTCGCGGTGAGAGGCAATTTTGCTATGAATGTTTTGAAGCAACGATTAAACGGTATTCGTTATAGGATACCACAGAGTTGTAACGGTGGGACCGACCCTTTTTTACCGGTCTAAAGAAATTTTTCAGTCGTAAAACTCCCTCTAGTCCCCCTCAGGATTAAGTAAATGAGTGTTTTTTAAAGCCTCTTGTTTTAACTGGCAGTACATGACCTAACATACCGGTCGGTTTTTATCGGTCTGAAAATTTTTTCAACCGACCGGACCGGTTACAACTCTGGGATACCAAACAGCAGCTATGCTGAATTCTAACTTTCAGACTTAGAAGGTCTACCCCAACAAGATCTTTTGAAATATTATTATAGTTTGACTTACTTTACTTCTGCATAATCATGTTGACTAATGAACCGCAATGTATGCGCTGTAGAAGGCATTGAAAGTCCGCTATCAGACATTGTAGATTGAGGAGGTGATCCAAATGACTTGTATAATTTTAAACGTAAATAGTTTCATGTATGTTTTTGGCTGATTAAAAATGCTATGTTTATATGAGTCAAAAAATATACACATGAAGAAGAAAGAAGAGATTTGTTTTAATCAAAAGGAGTCATACATTGTGTGCAAGTGAATCCAAATGCATAAAATACATAGAGAGACAAGAAAAAGAAGAAAGATTTTTCCCATTCTAAAAAAGGTAAAGAAGAAAAAGGTGAAGGTTTTTCCTATTCGAAAAAAGCCTTTTCTTTGATAACAAACGCTTTAAACACTCTAAAGACAAACATGCATGACCTTCGGTTGATGTGTGTAAAAAGCTTCATTTGCTAGACAGTTATATTCCTATAAATTATTCGTCAAAAAATTTCGCTGCATCAGAGTGAGTATCGCAGAGAACGCGTGTAAAAATTTTTCGTCCGTTAGACTAAATAGTCATAGGACCGAATCAGAACTATTTTTAGTTTTACATCTCTTGGTCGACAAATTAATAGCTCAGAATTTTTTATTGATTGTAACAGAATGAATCCTGGTGATAGTCTGTCTCGTCAAGCGCTAGGGATACATAAACATATTGGTGCATTATACAACAGACAGACGGACAATTTTTGTAATGGATCACTTTTCGACTCTAGCATACAAAAAACAATCCTGCAAACCAACCTTAAACATTCTCCTACTTTCCGCTCCTCTCTGGAAGATTTACCTAGTCGAAAATTAGATTTATTGGGCGTCGACAGAGACCTTAAATTAAGCATTTTATCTGGTCTATCACACATAGATAATGATTATGCGGCGTACATTTATGACGGTAACAAATCGTCAACAAGTATAAAGTTTAGTTTGGTTTATCGTGAAATAACAGCTAGTCAAACATTTGATATGTTTCAATCAGATATCAAAAGAAAAATGATCATTAATTCCAGTCATGGACACAATGATGCTACTCATTTTCTGGTTGATGTAGAATATGGTTTTGCCATAATTATTTCATTTGAAATAACAAATGTTACTCCGCAAAAATCCAGTGAATATAGAACAAAAATTAATCATATTTTAAACAAAATAGTTCTATCAGCAATATCTGCTAGTACATCTTATGAACTAGTTAATGATGAAAAAGAGCTTCTAAGCAAATCATTAATGACTATTTTTACCGATATTTCAGAGAAAACGAAAATTACCACCATGGCTCCTGACAATATTATAACATATTTGAAAAATATTTCGACTATGGTCGAAAAAGACGCAAGTTTAGCGTCACCCATGAGATATACGTTCTATTCAAAACAAAGATACCTAAAAGATCATGCACATCGTACAACAACTATTTATCCTACGATAAAATGTTTAGAAACTGATCTTGTTCGTGTCATCATTCAGGAATTTGATTATGTGCAGCAAGCTGTTCAAGAGCTCAGTAACTTTGTTCGTCTGTTAGCGACCATTGATAATTCATATATCCATCGTCGTGTCATGAAATATGAAAAACTATTATCAGACGCGAAAAACAGGCAACAAGAATTTCATCATTATCTCTCCACCTTACTTGTTGAGTTTCGTACAGAAAATCTGAATGCCGAAGAAATCAGGAAATTCGTAAAAGACTATCAAACGCAAGAGTGTCCTGCAAATAACATAAAACAAATATTAAACTGTGAAAAAGTATTGCAGCAAAAAGCTATGTTTATTTTATCTTTAGATATATTGGGTATTGTTTATTTCGATATTACAATAGCACATCCAGAATCCGCCGCTCAAATATCGTCTGCTTCCACATCAAAAGTACGAAAAAATGAATTTTTGAATATTGCTAAACGGTTGCCCACTAATTTTGACAAAGGAGAATGTTATGTATTTTATTGCATAAGTGAGAATTGTCTCAATGAAACTGAAACTTGGAAACAATTTCTGAAAAAGAGTAAAACTAAAAGCAGAGACACAAAGTGCATATACATGGACTGTACAAATTGTGCCGAAAGTTATCAGCCACCAGAAAACAAGATTTGTTACTATAAAGACGGCCGGTCGATCACCGAAGAAGATAAAGACGAAGTTCAAATGACTGCTGCCACTGGCAAAGACAATGCAAATCGGGATATTAATATTTTGCTACTGGGTGAAACTGGTGTAGGAAAATCCACATTTATTAATGCGTTCGTCAATTATCTGACATACGATACATTAGGTGATGCTATAAACGGCGAACCAGCTATACTAATTCCAGCGTCGTTCAGCATTACGGACAGTGAAACATTCGAACAAAGGCAAGTCAAAGTCGGGGACATCGATGCTAACGAGGTTAACAAACCAGGTCAATCGGCAACTCAGGTCTGTAGAACATATTCGTTTCCAATTGCAGACCGAACATTACGAATTATTGATACACCTGGTGTCGGCGATACAAGAGGTTTACAACAAGACGGACATAATTTGGAGCATATTATCTCTCATCTCAGCCGATATCAGCATCTTAATGGAATCTGCATGTTACTGAAACCAAATGCGTCGAGATTAAACACATTTTTTCGTTTTTGTATAACTCAGCTATTATCATATTTGGATGTCAATGCAAAAGACAATATTATATTTTGTTTTACGAATGCTCGCTCGACATTTTATTCTCCAGGGAATACGACAGCATTGCTCAAACAACTACTGAGAGAACTACACGAAACATCCAAAATCGATATACAGTTTAGCAAACAAAACACATTTTGTTTCGACAATGAAGCATTTCGCTTCTTAGTCGCAGCAAAATCAAATTTGAAATTCGATAATAAGCAAGAAAATGAATGTTCTCGAAGCTGGGACGTATCTGTGAATGAATCATTCCGGTTTGTTCAATATGTTTTGTCCTGCACTCCTTATAATTTACGTGATACAATTGAATTTAATAAAATACGAAAGATCATTCTCGAATTAGCGAGACCCGTTTTAGAAGCCACACGTACCATTCAAATGAATCTAAAATGTCTCAACGACACGAAACGTGAAGTAAACACCTCAACATCGACACAAAAGAATGATAACCGTATCCCACATATTGAACTTAAGAAAATATGTTTAGAACAACCACGAACTGTATGCACTCATCTACCATGCGTCAGAGTAATTCAATCCGGGAATATCGCCGAAATTGATTATATTACCGTGTGTCACAATCCATGTTACGTGAGGTTCCGTTTTTTAATTATGTTGTAATTATTCTAATGATATTTTATTTAGAATTTTTTTATTCTACTGATTTGACAGTTGTAGCCTTCGAGCTTTTGAATAAGTGAAATAAATGTACATTATAAATGAACAACTCAGGCGAGATATTCAGTGTGATACAATCCAAAATCCCCATATTGTCTGTTGCGAAGTGTTTGCCACGAGTAATGGCAGATGTTACCACTGTAATTGTTCTTGGGAACATCATATGCACATGTATTATGAAACGAAACTATGTATGACATATTTAACCATTCCGAATGCAAGTAATATTGATCCTGTACAAGAGTTAGATAAACGAATAGAAAGTCTTAATGAAGAACAAAAGACTATTATTGAAATACCTGTGAGATTTATTCAATATTTAAAAGAAAATTCCATAACGGCATTCAATGACCCATTCGCTGATTATATGAATTACTTTGTTAGCGAAGAACGGTTGAAATGTGATATGGGTGCGAACAATCAGTTAGTTCTGAATGGTTTAGAAAAAGTACAAGAATTATATATTCAAAAGTTAAAATCATCCGCCAATTCAACAACAACAATAGGAAAAGACGAAATAATGAACCTTTTGCAAATATTATATAGTTTACCACATAATGGTCCTTCAATAAAACAACAAATGGATTTAGTCAAAACGATGCAAGTTAACGCATTGGGGAAAACTGAAAAAATTATCGATATTCCTAAAGAACGTAGCAATAACTCGATCGTTTCTAAATTAACAACATTATTCAATGACAATCAAAAACAATTCGGAGTACTTTTATAAGAGATTTAGTCAAGATAAGCACATTTCTATATAAACTATATACAAAAAAATTGGTAAATCTATAAATTCTTTAAAAAATTGCAAACAAAAGGGTTCTGAAAAACTGAAAAATTCGTCGTCTTTGAGCCTTTTAACTATTTTCACTGTAACTCGCGAACGATAGGAAATAAACACAGAACAAAAAAAGTGTCACCTTGAAAAAAAGTGTCACCTTGAGAATGTTCTTAGTTACGTCTGATAAAATTCGGTCTAATCGACTGCGCTTTTCTGAGTGTCACCATGCATATGAACTATCTGTTTCTTGCAACTATCTGTCTTTGCAATCTTTCTTAGTTTAGTTGCTATTCATCTTTCTTGCAATCTGTTTCTTAGCTTCGATGCACGGAAATCTCTGTAATATGACAGTTAAAGGATTAAGACAGAAACGGAAACGATACGAAAAAGAGTTTCTAATGTATTCTGAAAGCACGAACTGTTGGCTGTTTTCAGTTTCGTTTTGATTGGTTTCTATGAAGAGTCTTAACAAAAGACGGGTAAACTTCATACTTTCTTTGTAAGCGTTTTGGACAGCTACCTATTATATGGTCTGACATTCATCAAAAAAATGTTTTTCTGCTACATTATTCGAGTGTAGTCCTATTGAGTTCCGTAAAAAATAAAAATAATAATAAATAAAACTTAGCCTTTTCCTGTGCTTAAATATAAATTTGTTAGGCAATCGTCAAGAAATCTGACAGTTATTTCCTAGACTTTGACTTTTCTATCCAGTCCTTTTAGAGTGCCGTGCAAACTTTACTAAAACACCAAAATTTACGAGGAAAAATTTTTACGAGCAAACTTTCTTTCAGGACTGGAACCGGAAAAAACATTTTACGCAACAGTCAAAAAACTTCTTGGTTCCAGTCTCATTTCCGCTCATGTCCCTGCTGAGTACATATTATACCGCTACTATTCTTCGACTAACTTCAGATCGCAGATAGTCGAAAACAGTGCAAATGACTGTTCTGCCTAAAAAAAGAATATTCCAATTTTATGTGCAGGAACGGTTTTTTAAAATTTAGGACCGTATGTGTATTTTTTAGTTTTCTCACTGAAGAAATTAGTTCTTAAGGTTAAAACTAATATATTGTTGATCAACTCGAAAAGCTCTATTCAACCATGTTAAAAAAAGTCAACAAGAACACTGCTGTAATTTACGCGCGCCTTACATAACAAAGTAAAATGGTTATTAGGTACTTCGCTACCTTGCTCCCTAGATGTTGTCTGAACTCTCAGCACGAGATTTTCTAACAGATATTTTATAAGGTAACCCAACACATAATCATCGCCATACGCCCAGATCCAGTTCGTCGAAAATACATTAGTCGGGCAGAATTCTCAGAACTCAACATTAAACACTATAGTCTTTCTTCACTTGCTTCCGTCATCTGTACATAGCCTTTCCTGCTCTCATTTCTATCAGTTTATCTACCTGTTCACCAATTATCGTTATATTCAACACTGCGATTGTATAATAACACATTTATGTCTATTTATAGTAATCTGAAATACACAAATTGTACTATAAATTCTATAACTTTGCAAAGATAGGTCGTGTAGAGCTGGGAGATGTCTCATTTTAATCAGAAATTTGCCGGCTACAATTAGATCTCATTAAGAAGGTTTTAGTTATTTTTCAGAGTTTCTGAAAAACTGGTTTTCCAGAAAACCGAGACTTCAAGAGTCATGGGCCAGAATCCTTTTAGAGTTTTTACTAGCTCGACACCCTCTATCGATCGACGTATGAACGAACGAAATCGGAAGAGTTCACCGAAAAACATTCCCTCGTGAGAAGAAACTTTTATCTGGAAAATATATCAATTTATAGTACAATTTGTGTATTTCAGATTACTATAAATAGACATAAATGTGTTATTATACAATCGCAGTGTTGAATATAACGATAATTGGTGAACAGGTAGATAAACTGATAGAAATGAGAGCAGGAAAGGCTATGTATACCGCGAACGACATTACCGCGCACGACATTACCGCGAATACAAAAAATGACATTACCGCGAACGACGTTACCG